AATCTGGGTTTATGTGGCAGAATTGGTTCAGAACATCAAATCCAGATGAATGCAGGATTACAGAAGAATGAAGATGAAGGCCAAAGGAAACGTTTCAGTCTCCATAGGACGTTTCTTATTCTGTTTAAATGTAAGGTGATGCGCACCGTTTTGTCTAGACAGGTTAGCCGTTAACTAATCATTGTTTGTTTAAAGTGAACCAATGTGACAGCGACACCTGTCCATCATTTGTAATTTGGATTAAGAACAGAGTATAAAAGTGAAAGAGCAGCTGAGCGGCTGGGTAGGTTTTCCACCACCCAAAATCGATTCTTTTGAGTAAATTTTAATGGTATAAGAGCGGCCGACCTAGGCCGGCTTCCGCGACACGATGGCCGATCCAGATCGACTGACGACACCACCGTCTGGGGAATCTGGTTCCGTCAACAACAATGGTTACCAAGTTGGAGGCACAGTTATTCAGTTTGGTAATCCTCTATACCTAAACCCAAATGAGAGTTTTACTCAACCCATAGTTTCTGAATCCCTAGATGGTAGTAACTACTCGATGTGGAGTAGATCCATGAAGAAAGCACTAAAAATGAAGCACTAGCTTGGCTTCATTGACGGGTCTATAGCTATATCAGCGAGAAATGACCCAAGTTTTTTTTTATGGGATAGCTGCAACATCGCAGTAGTTACTTGGATTTTGAATTCACTTCAAAAGGATAGCAAGAGATCTGCTATGAGTCATGAAAATGCTAAGACTCTGTGGGAAGAACTCCAACGCAGATTTGGTCAATGCTAACAGGTTGACCAATCTAGAGAATGAGATCCACAGGTGCAAGCAAGGATCTATGAAAATTACCCAATACTATACTCTGATTAAGGGTTTATGGGATGAATACACAGAATACAGCCCAGTAGTTGAATGTAACTGTGTTCCTGGAAACCCTATTCAGTGTACTGCAGTGATTGCTTATAATAAAAAACAGGAAACTGATTACCTTATCAGATTTCTTTGTGGCCTCAACCCTGAGTTTGAAGGGGTCAAAAAGCAATTGCTCATGTTGAAGCCATTACCAAGTGTGGCTGATGCAGTAGATGATCTCCTGCAGCATGAGCAAGAGATTAAAGCAAATTCTTCTGGGAAGAAAGTACAGACCATTGCCCTTGCATTGAATGTGGATACTAGGAAGTCTATTGAGTCTAATGATAGAGCACCTCGAGGCCCAGGAGGGAAGTATTGCAAGTTTTGCAAGAGATCAAGTCACAATATAGAGGAATGATGGACACTTAAGAGGAAAAACAAGGAACTGGAACAAAAGGGAGGACAGCCAAACATGGCTCCAAGGTTTGCAGGGTCTATTTCTCAAGGAAGTTCAAATGGAAATGAGGCACAAAGTGATGGTAGCTACTCAAATGACAGCACTGCAAGTCACTCTGCCACTGGATTTACTCCAGAAAAAATGCACAGGTTGAGGTACTTGCTGCATTTTGGTGCTAACAATCCCCCACCTTCCACAACCACTTCCAGTCCCTCACCATCAATTAAACACCAAGCCTACTCTCTGTCTCAGTGTTTACCACCTTTCCCAAATTTCACAGGTAAATATGTGCTCTCTTCTATAGATAGATCACACATACAAAGCCCCTTCTGGATACTAGATACTGGAGCATCAGATTACATTGCATGTTCCTCAGAACTCTTTACAAATAATATAGCAGTTACAAACACCTTTGTTCATCTGCCTAATTCTTCCAAAGTGCTAGTTAGTCACATATGAACTGTAAAGCTGCCCTCAGGACTGTTTTTGTATAACGTTCTGCTTGTTCCAAGTTTCACTTTCAATCTAGTTTCAGTAAGTAGGTTGACTCATGACTTTCCCCTTTCCTTACTCTTTTAATATGATATTTGCCACATTCAGGACCTTCTAAGCAAGAAGACGATTGGTTTAGCAAGAGAACTTAGAGGTCTTTACCAGCTCATCTTCACAACTCAGCCACCAAATTCATCCTCCACTTACCAAAGTCAAGCTGTTAGTACATTTAATTTCACTCCTCAACATGTAGATTTGTGGCATTGGAGATTAGGCCACCCTGGCAATGATAGGCTTAGTATGTTGCAGCATGTTGATCCTTCTGTAACACCTTCTAAGGTTGATCCTTGTAATATTTGTCATTTCTCCAAACACAAAAGACTACCTTTCCCTGTTATCACTAACAATGCACTTAAGTTATTTCAATTAATTTATGTGGATATTTGGGGTCCTTTATCAGTTGTGTCTCATGATGGCTATAGCTATTTTCTTACAATTGTTGATGACTGCTCCAGAGCTGTCTGGGTTTATATGATGCATAGCAAGAATAAAACCAGAGACTTGTTGAAAGGGTTCTGTATGTTGGTTAAGAATCAGTTTAATACAACTGTTAAGGCCATCAGAAGTGATCAAGGCCAGGAATTCAACATGTGTGATTTCTACATAGCTGAGGGAATAGAACACCATATGTCTTGTGTTCATACTCTAGAGCAGAATGCTTGTGTTGAAAGGAAGCACCAGCACATTTTAAATGTGGCTAGGTCCCTCAGGTTTCAGTCTGGTATCCCACTCCATTTTTGGAGTGACTGCATCTTACATGCAGTTTATCTGATAAACAGGTTGCCTACTCCTGTCCTTGATAATCGTTCCCCATATGAAATTTTGTATGACAAACCTCCATTCCTTGGTCATTTGAGGGTCTTTGATTGTTTAGTCTATGTTGGTACACCTGCACATGGGAGAACCAAATTTGCCACTAGAGCAAGACAGTGCATCCTGTTAGGCTTGCTATATGGGATCAAAGGTTACAAACTTTTGGATCTCAACTCTCAGCAAGTTTTTGTTTCAAGGGATGTGACCTTTTATGAGTCAATCCTTCCTTACAGAACTGAGACCTCCTCTTTTCAGCCCTCTCCTCCCCAATCAGACACACCTACTTCAACTACATCTACCCCAGCACCTGATCTTCGTATCCCTTCTCAACCAATCCAGCCTACCTCACCATTGTCTCAGCCTTCATCTTCTCATTCTCCTGACTCAGCCTTGGCTGAAGAGGGGTATGAAATGCTTGAGCTTAAGCCTGAATTGGAACCACAACAAGAATATGAACCAGTTGTGAGACCAAAAAGGAATTATCAAATTCCAAAGAAGTTTGAAGACTGTGAACTTGATCCCAACCTTACCTTTGGAGGATTTGCTGTCAATGCCACAGTAACTAGATTCCCCATTGAATACAAACTAGAAGAATTGAATCAGGTAGACAGATTGTATGCATTAAGTGTTATTCTACAGGAAAGGAGGCCATCAAGAGTGAACAGTGGATAAGAGCAATGAGGGAAGAATGTCAATCACTTGAAGACAACCAAACATGGGACATTGTACCAGTACCAGAAGGAAAGAAGGTCATAGGAAACAAGTGGGTTTACAAAATTAAACTCAAACCAGATTGCTTGATTGAGAGGTATAAAGCAAGATTAGTGGCTAAGGGCTTTACACAAGTGTATGGAATAGATTTCCTTGACACATTCAGTCTGGTTGCTAAGATAAACACTGTGAAAGCATTGCTGGCAACCACAGCAGTCAAGAACTGGACACTGGAACATATGGATGCGTCAAATGCATTCCTCCATGTAGATTTAAACGAGGAGGTTTACATGGAAATACCACCAGGGATGGAGATTGAAACTTCTGGATCACAGAGAATGGCCTGCAGGCTTAAGAAATCACTTTATGGACTCAAGCAAGCGTCCAGATAGTGGTTTGCTAAGCTAACTAGCTTTCTTATGAAATCTGGTTTTAGTCAGTCTGCATCAGACTACCCATTGTTTACTAAATGGGTTCATGGAAGGATTGTAGTGGTCCTGATCTATGTAGATGACATCATTGTTGGAGGAGATGCCCAGAAGGACATAGATCAGGTGAAGAAAGCCTTGACCAAGGAATTCAAAATCAAATTGCTTGGTTCCCTGCAATATTTTTTAGGATTAGAAGTTACCAGGACAGCATATGGCATCAATGTTGGCTAGAGAAAGTATTGTCTTGAGCTTCTAAGAGATACAGGGTACTTGGATGCAAAAGGGTGTCAATCACTTACTGATTATAAAGTAAAGTTTTCAGGAATGGAACGAACTCCATTAGAAGATCCTGAACAGTACAGAAGGTTAGTAGGCAGGTTACACTACATCACCATCACAAGGCCAGATTTAACTTTTGCAGTCCAACAACTTTGTCAATTCCAGAAAAGGCCACACGAGGAACATCTGCAAGCAGCCTTCAAAGTCATCAGGTATTTGAAGAATGGACCAGGCCAAGGGATACATTTCAGCAGCACATCTGAGTTGAAGTTGACTGGGTTTTGTGACAGTGACTGGGCTAGCTGTCCTGATACAAGGAGATCAACAACAGGGTACTGCACCTTCCTAGGTAAGTCCTTACTTACTTGGAAAACTAAGAAGCAGACAATTGTGACGGCGACACCTGTCCATCATCTGTAATCTGGATTAAGAACAGAGTATAATACTGAAAGAGCAGCTGCGCTACTGGGTAGGTTTTCCACCACCCAAAATCAATTCTTCTGAGTAAATTTTCCTTGTGGGTTATGTTTTTACAATAGTTTCTGGATTTCGTTGGAAGGGATAAGAAAGGACTGTGAGGCGGCACGACGGCGGTCGCGAGTCCGGGTCACGATCTCCCTCCCTCCGATCTACAGGGTTACGAAGGTAAGTCATTAACAAGGATCCTAGTCACCATAGATTTAGCTCCATCGTCACTTCATCGATTTACCGGTCGAGCTTCTCTGAAAGCAACTGCTGGTAATTCTCGTTGCCAATGGAAAAAAGAATAAGGTGAAGTGAAAGTGAAATGACGGAGAAGAGGAAAAGTCGAAAAGATGGGGGAAGAAGAAGTTGCGGAGGAGTTGAATAGCCAAATAAGAGTGGGGAAGAATAATTGGACTTGGGTAGAATTGTAATTTTGTGTTGTTCCAATTAAAAACCTATATTTAATCCAAGGGTGAATTGCAAGTTTGGTCATTCATATTACCTATTTGTTACATATTAGCCACCTAATATTAATATTTAATAGGCAGTATATCCTCTGATTAAAATTCGAATAAAAACGCAACAAACACAGCTGACGCTTTAGTCATCCGTCATTTGGATATCAACTTTGAGCAACGCAAAGAAAAACTAGAGAAAAGAAAAGGTACAGTTGGTATTCTGTAATCCTATCTATACATATAAGGCTCTCAATGATACAACAACAATCCGACGATAAAAAGTACTCTCGGGTTTCGATGAATGCAGCACAAGATATGTTCTGTCTAAATGGCTTCCCCTTCTTCAGTTTACAATAACAATACAGAAAAGTTTCACCCTCAAGAAAGACCAACTCCCTAAAACCTACTGCTTTCGTTTCCATACTGCATTGACCTGAAAATGCATAGCAGTGAGCATCCACGCATGATGAGGTAAGTCCGCTTGTTTCTAAGCTTTACTACTGCAAAGGAAACTCACCTCTTACAAATCAAAATGATTAACTCAATCGTTGTAAGTGCTGAGAGCTGCTACAACAGACCCTGTGGTCTCAAAAGTCGATGCCACTTCGGGATAATCTTTCCAAGATGTTGTGACCTTGAGAGAGGGATACAACCAACTCTTGACTGAATCCAAAAAGGAGTTCGGATCATAAGTAAGAATGGCTTCCCAGTCCACCTGCAAACCCTTGGGGATCTGTCCTGTGAACTCCATATTTGCAGCTAAAAGTAACCCCAGCAAAATGATAAATCCCACGGCAGCAGAACCTCTGGATAGCGGCATAAAATTGTACCTGCGACATTCAACTCAGACAGTTTAACTGAAGAACCATCGTTTAAAAGGAAACTACGTATGCCGCTTACCAGTAGTATGTCATCCTTAGCAGTGCATCTTTATAATTCTCGAGGACATCAAAGTCAGTGGATCCATATTTTTCTCCGCAGTAGGTATTGCACAAAGCCTGCAGGTTAAGACACTGGGTTAACTACTTGTTTACTGCTTCATTCAGTACAGAAGGCATGCAATAGTAGCATGCAAACCATAAAACTCTCTGCACAACTTATAGACAAGCCTTAACAAAATAAAGGAATGCAGATCAACATCAAGAGCTAATTAATTGTTGCCAGGATCACACACATCTTTGTGTTTCCCCTTTAATTTAATCCATTTCATTTATAGTAAACACAGGGATCGTAAAACAAATGTTAGGGGGAAAAAAGACTCAATAAGCAAACTATAAAAGTTTGTTGTTTGGATCTGCTGCTTCTATATCGAAAGGATGGAAATGCCACTAAGTGGGGAAAATCCCAACAGAATACAGAAGCTCGGTCTGCCAGCGGATTGATTTATTATGTTTTCAATTGGTTCACTTATCTAGAAAGCAATAGAACAGTTGTGTTTCATATCAACGTCATGATGATATGTTTTGGCAAAATAAAACCGACTAGCATAAACATAACTATAAACAACGTATGGTTATTGGTCGATTTTCTGAGTTATAGTCTTGAGGTATTGACCAACTTACATCCCATGCCATTGCCATTTTTGCATCAAAATCTTCCCACCTAGAGGGTGTGCAGGGGGTTCTGATAGCATAGTCAAATACATGATCTCCCCTGTCAAAAATGTTTCAAGTTTAAGAACCAAATGGGAGATCGATTAAATACGAAGGGATTAAGACGGTACAAAAAAGAAAAGGAATAATATGAGATTTACATTTTCACCAAGGCAATTCTTGTCCCCTCAAGTTGCTTCCTGCAATCAAACAATCATTAGCAGTTGTGAAGGGTGAACACCTCATAACAAAGCGCTAGAATCTTGATTTCTGCATTTGAAAGTGAAGGAAACTACCCCTCAAATGCGGTGCTGTTGCACCATGTAGCCAACCAGAAGTCTTCACCAACTGCTCTGTAAAGATCAGAACATGTTTTTGCAACCATAATCTGTCACCGAAAAAAGGACAGTCACTACAGGCTAATAAGATGGAAATACTGGGCAAGCAGATCAAATGAAGTATTATCACACAATGTCAACTAGACAAAGCCTAAATGCTAATAATGGTTCACAACTATGAGTCAATGGTCAAAACATTAAACAGATTTTGCCTCTACTCACTTGCACATAGTTTGGCTCCTATATCAAATAAAGCGGATAAAATAAATAACATATTTAAAAGGGTTAATACCTTATTTTGCCCTAAACTATGACAACATAATCAACTTTGGCCCATGGTTTCAGAAATTAACATTCTGACCTCAACTATGCAACATATAGACTAAATTGGCCCCGAAACATGGTTTGACCGTCAATTTGGACGGTTAACACCGTTGACCGTTAGTCAACATGCCATGTCATTGCCTCGTCCCCCTAAAAATCATTAAAAAAATTCAAATTCAAATCTTTTTCCTAATTTCTATTATTTATCATTATCAAATAAACCATAAAATAAAATTATAAAAAATATAAAATAAAATTTCTTTTTTATTTTTTTGAGTAATTTGAAATGATAAATTTTATAAATAAACCAACAATTATCAAATTATTTTAAATTTTAAAAATATATTTTTTTGGTTAATTTGAAAATGAGAAATAATAGAAATTAGGAAAATAATTTGAATTTTTTTAATGATTTTTAGGCTGACGAGGCAATGACATGGCGTGTTGACTAACGGTCAACGGTGTTAACTGTCCAAATTGATGGTCAAACCATCTTCGGGCCAATTTAGTCTATATGTTGTATAGTTGAGACCAGGATGTTAATTTCTAAGTTCGGGCCAAAAGAAGGTACTAACCCTATTTAAAAATAACAAAAGATAGCATTCATCTTTAGCATTCAACAGCCATAGGAGAGAAGCAGATAAAATTGGAAAGTAAGCACTCACTTTATGCAGCTTCTCATCTTTGGATATGTCTATGACATTATCGTTCTTACTGCAGACGTAGAGTTTTTCCTTCATCACATTCTTTGCAACCTATAACGTCCTGCAGCATCAATAACGAATTGAGGAATTTAGAGGAAATTGGCCTGAACTCCTCAGATATTAGTTATTACTGTACAATATAGAACAATTTTTACTCTAAAAGGTAATTCAAGTAACCATCACCTTTCATAATTAGGGTAGTACCGAACAACTTTAGCTTGTCCCAGAATCATCGGAGTGTGAGAGTGACTCACTTCTATTGTCACTCTAGGAATTGGCCAAGTGTAACCACTTCCTAAAGTGTAGTATAGCGGGTTTGGGTTTTAATGTCAACCCGGGTCCTAGATTTGATGACTACTCGGTGAATTCTTGTTATCTAGCAATGAAACTTTAATGCAGGTCTAAACTAACAAACAAGCAAAGCAACTAAACGGTTGTTTTCAGGTTAAGAGAGGTCACCCGGATATGGTTCCCCCTAGACTGCAGTTAAGTCGGATTGCAATTACCAAGTTCAATTTCTATGATAGTTATACAGCGGAAGGTTCTTAAGCAGTCCGAAGTCTCGACTAAAGGTCTCGATACCCTCTCAATCTGAGTCTCTAGCGGGCGACTAACCTCCACCGGAGTAAACAGATTGAGGCCCTAACGAACAAAACCTCCACTACCGAAGTGACTTCGGTACAGAATAGTGAGTTGGCTCCTCGACTAAAGTCACCAACTCCCTACCTTCAATCAAGGATGCTCTATCAACCTAGGCAGATATTCTCATTCTAGGTTAAAGCAGAAACAACAAGAATTTGATCAGGATTCATGCCATTCAATCATTCAAACCTCAATTGAATATAATCAAATCATAGAATCAATACTTGGGTTCATACAATCAAACCTAACATACAAATCTAGGGTTTCCCATACCCAGATGAATGGGAGAACTACTCCATGGAGAAAGAAGCAAAAGCAGATTCAGACGCGAAAATCATACTGTGAAGGATGGATTTCTGCTCCTGGACGTTGATCGGCACTCCTCCAAGCTCAAGCCAAGCTCCAATGGTGATGAAGATCAAGTTAGGGCACTTGGGAACTCTTGTTCGTTGCTTTCTCTCTCTAGGAATCACTCTGTCTCTCTAAAACTCGAATCCCCCTTCTCTTTTGGCTGAAATCTGCCTAAAAAACCCGATTCTGGGCAAAACACGGTCGAGGGCATGGCCGTGCTTTGCTTTTTCCCGCCCGTGTTTTACCCCGTGTTAAAAACACGCCCGCGCGCGTCGGCCAAAACACGGTCGTGCCTAAATATGGGTACGGCCGTGTTTTGATTTAGGCGCGCCCGTGTTTTTACTGCCGAACCTGTTCCCCTATATTCAATGCTTCGTTTCTCCCTCGTCCGGACTCCGAATCAGTCGCCGTTTGATCCCAGACGCTCGTAGTCTCATCCTCTTTCTTTTAATGACAAGCTTGAATGATTCTTTGTCCATTAAGTGAGGTATAAATCCATTATTCTTCAGGTCATGCCCGAGTTTCTTCTCCCTAATCGCCAATTGATCTCTGATTGACTTGAAACTTGCGCTTATGCTTCACTTTATGTGCTAGGACCTGAAATGTGACAAAGGAACACAACCTAGCGTACAATAGGCCAAAGACGCGATAATTAAAGCTCAAACGATCAAGAAACAAAGGGGAAAACATGTGCAAATATCGAGTCATCAAATCCCCCCACACTTAACCGTTTGCTTGTCCCCAAGCAAACCAAGTCAGACACAAGGTAAGCTCAAAACGTTTCAATCAAGCAGGCTTTAGGGCATATTATATCTGTACAAAACACGTGGATCATATTGGCTTTCGATCATTAACACATGGACAACCTCAACGACAACCTAGACAACCACCACATAGACTTGACTCAACCACATGACATTCGAATGCAATAAAGTCGAGCAAAGGAAGAGTTCCCTTCTGTTCACCAACCAACATAGACTTGACTCAACCACTTATTCAAAACAGTCACTTCACGCACAAAGCTCAAGATATCAGAATTAAGACCGAGCAATATAGGTCCTCACCGGGATAAAGAGTATAGAGAATATGAGAAAATGAATCGCTCACTCTCGACCAGTGGGGTCAGGACAATTTGATGCGAAAAATGTGCATGCTTATTCTCTCAATCCCTAACGTCTCTTCACCATAAATGCAGCCTCTAAATGCTAGAGTTCACATATGGGGTGTCACCACTAACTAATCCGGAGGTCTTAGACACAGGTTCAGATGACTGGCTAGGGTCTTGAACATGGGGAAAAGGCCTTTTAGGTGGTGGAAGTATTCATAGCGCAAGGTTCCACATTTCCAAACCCAACAAACTCACAGTCAATCAAACCAATAACTTTCTTCCTGCTATTCTGCATTACTCAAATTCTTCAGAGCACAAGAGCGAAGGAGGTCACATAAATGCTAGTATTGCTAAGCCAGATCGCTGAGAAACACTACTTAATGGGCACTATTTAGATTTTTGATGGTGGCCCTCTTTTGCTTTCACTTTTTTCTTTGTTTTTCTTTCAATTTTTTTTTTCATTTCTTAAGAGAACCACCACCTCTGCACATTTTTCAAACACCTGCCCAACTTATTAAGAACTACCTCCAACTCTCACATTAAACCACTCTGTGGAACCTTCTAAGAGATGCAAAAGGGTGATTTTTCATTGCAGACCGAAAGAAAGGGTAACACACGGCTCAAAGGGGCTGACTAGGGGGTATGACACACCAGGACAGTCAATTTGGTCGTGGGCTAATCCTATGCTTCCATCATCTTAGCTAATGACAACGTGAATGCTGCACATCATGGAAGAGGGAACTATCGCACGAGAAAGAAACGAGCAGGCTCAAGTCTCACATGGCTACCTATATGCTCTATCTCTCGTTCTGATTCCCTGAACTAGATGCATAAATGACTGTCAAAAGCAAGTGATCAATCCAAGTCACAGTTGGTAAGCAAACAGTTGAAAAACTGAACCCCTACACAGTTCTACTGCACATCTCAGTCATAATAATAAGTTGTCTTAGTCACACTCAAGTTGTCATGCATCAAGTCAAAAGCCATTCAATTCACTAATCACATCCACAGTGCCAATACGATCAAACATCAGGCAAACAACAATGCTTGGAGCCCTCAAATCTCGAGATTTGGACAGTGGACTAGGCTCTAAGCACACAAACAGATCTAATGCAGTCAAAAGATAAACACCCCCCCCCCCACACTTAAGATCGAAATTGCCCTCAGTGGAGAAGAGGGAAGGATAAGGGGAACGATGTTACCGGTGTGCACGGACTACATGAGACTGGAAGCGGACCCGCCGAGTGAAGCGGACTGGAGAGGGCCCAGTCTGGAACAAAGCACAGCTAAAGGGGAACAAAAGAGCTCAAACACAATATGTTAGGTCCAATGGTCAGCCCAATAATACATCATCCAAAACAAAAGAACACAAACCAAAAACCAAACCGGTTTACAATCCGACTCAAAACACAAGAAAGAAAGTCAAACCGTGGTGGGGTTGCCTCCCCACAAGCGCTTCTTTACCGTCTTTTAGCTGGACGCCCATGGTGGATACTCAGTGGGGTGCAGGAACAGGTGACTCCAAGAGCGGGTCCACGTCGCTTTTGAGGTACAGCTTCAGGTTGTGGCCATGCACCCGACGGGTGCGACCACCAGCATTGGTCAGCTCGACCTGGCCATCCGGCAAGATGCAGGCGAGTGAGTACTCGGATGGCCAGGGTGGTCGTGGTGCAGGGGGTGGAACCAGCTCGTAGTGGTCTCCACCTTTCTTCCGTGCAGGCTTAGCAACCTGCTGCTTCGGCCGCCACTCCTCCTTGATCTTTTTGTTCGGAGGCGAGGCTGGATGGAGTGGCGGCGAAGGAATGATAGGAGGGTCCTGCAAAATGAGAGGTGCAGAAGGATACACGACAGGCTCGTGTACCTGATCAGAAATGGCATGCATAGGTGTGACAGCAATCATAGCACAGTGATCGAATTCAGTCACAGAAAAAGTAGCTTGTTCATTCCCAGC